ATTGATAGCTCTGTCAGAAGTGGGCTGGGCATAAGTTGGGGTGTGAGTATTGGAGTGATTTGGATGAGTTTCAATGGAGGAATGACTATCTTTAACATTTGAATAGAAAACGGTTTTTTGGCACGCTGGAGGTCTTTTTAGATGGTACATCCTTTGTAATTTGCCGGGTGACGGTAGAGTGCGCATCAACCCGTGAAGAGTGCGCATTTTGGAGGATCCGAACGTGGATTTGGACATTCAGATGACTTATGATCGGCACCACAACGAACACATTTCCGAGGGTAGCCGGAGTAGGTTTTAGTGTGTCCATACTCTTGACAATTATTGCATTGTCTTAGGATTTGGGTCTTGTAGGGTTCTTCAACTCTAATTTTTGTGTGTAAAATTGATGTAAGTTGAAAAATATCATTTGACTGAGTTTGTGGCTCCAAGTCAACGAAAAAAAAGGGGAAGTGGAGCTTTGTTCACTTTGTGAAGCACGTTTGTAACACGTCTGATATGAAGCAAGCGAATTTCAAGTTCATCTTTAATTGTGTTTGGATCAGTGGTTGGGTGCAGGTTTCATATGACAACTCGGAGAGGTTTGTCCTCTTTAAGTTGATAAGTGTGGAATTCTTCACTTTAATTTTTTAAAAAATGAATTAGGGATCAATAGGATTCCGGGTTAGCTGTTTGGATTTTCAGACGGTCGGCGGATGCTTTACAAAAGAAGTTATCCACACGAATTAGTTCGATGAGTGCTTTTGATAGATCTAAGAAGTTGGTAATACCTCTTACAAAGATCGGAGGGGGAGGTTTGAAAACATCATTATATTTGCCTTTATCTAAATTTGGAGGCAGTGTTGTGTCAGGACCAGTATCAACATCTTGAGAAAGGAAAGAAAGGATTTGAATACGATTTGTTGATTGGAACAATTTTGTTTTTTGGTAATTATGTGTCTGAGGAGTTTTGGAAGTAGTACTCGTAGATGATACTTGCGAGGAGAAAGAGAGAATTCTTTTGTTTTTAACCAGTGTTAAGGGGTCGTTTGAATTTACGTTCATATCCCAGTTGCTATGCATCTGATGGGTTTGAGTATTATCATTACCTGATTATTTATGCGTATTTGTATTAGGTTTAGACTGTTGCCGCCGCGGAACTGAAATTATTGACCATAAAACTCTAAAAATCGTTTAAGGATTATAATACATTTTATGATAATAAATATTGTTAATAAACTGAAATAATACTCGTATTACGGGAAAATACAAAGAACATCAAACAACTTATCTACATTGCTGAACAAATGTTTAATTTGTATGTTTAATATTTTTAAATAAAACTGTGTTCTTCTTTTATAACTGGTGTTTGTTATAATTACAAACTGTGAAAATGTTTTAGGAGATTTAAGTCATCAGATTTTGAGTTATGCACTCACTATATGTTTTACAAAATGCTTAATGCTTTATGTTTTTGTCTTGTTTCTAGGCTAATTAAGCAATAATTGCTTAATAATTAAAGTCGTAAGAAATGTAGTTATAAATTAACTCATTAGTACCGGCGTTTTTTTATTTTAATTTCCAACGAAAATATTATTGTAAAGGTATATATTGTATTTATATTCAATGAAAATGTATCTCTTCAGACCTTTATTTAAAATAATGTTTAAAACTTCGAAGATTGGAAATCTAAATCGAAAAAATAAAAATTCTATAAAAATAACCCTATAAACGCCAAGCATTTCCAGATGGCAACATCAAAACTTGAAACTTATATAAATTCATAAATGTTTATATTTGATTGTTTTATGTATATATATATATATATATATAAGATTGTATTCAATGCATTTTTCATAGAAAAACAAAATAAAATATAACTAAAGTACAAAAAAATTTACTTACTCGAAAGAAAAATCAATTTTTAGTAATATAACGTCAATACAAAAGGTCAAACAACGATATAACCAAAATTATTATAGCAAATAGAATGTATGTTATCCATATTTTATCTTTAAATAATAATCTATTAATTTATTTTATTTCCACAACTCTTAATATAAAATTCCCAATGAGGTGTTAACTTCTAAAAATGGGTTTATCTGCGTTGCCGTTAGCTAATATTCATAGATAGAAAAATAAATTTATTGTATACTTGATATTATATAGTAAACACTATGACGTTTATTATAGAAGAGTTTAACGAATTAAACTATGGAATTGATGTTATAAGAGACGGAATTAGAGAATGGTGAATGCTAAATTTTACTCGTTTCCATGCAAAGACATTTTGTATTATTATATTTTTAACCTAGTGATTTTAAGTTTACTTTTTTTTAGGCTCTTCTAAATAAAATTAAGCAATTATTAATATAAATTTAATATATACAGAAATTGTGAGTATACATTCTATAAATTAATATCATTTGAAAATAACTTTATTGTATTTTAAATCAAAGGGTACGAAAAAAATGAAAAATCTGAATTTTGAGGTATTTAAATTTAAAACGTAATACTTAACACGTATTTAAATATTAAGTTTTAATCCGAGTTTTATAATAAATTAGTACACGTCGAAATATATAAGATTTATGATAACATAAAGGTTAGGTTAGATAATCTGCACCTAAATTGTACGAACTATTCATCTTAAACACACAATTACATTTGGACGACTTTTGTTAAGAAAATGTGTTTTAATTGTGGTTTTTATGAGGTTATTAATATTTGTGGACATGAAAAATATCAAATGTGACAAATAAACATTATCGAACAGTTTGAATAACATATAAAATAAAAAATTAAATCTCAATTATTAAGTTTGTTTCGAACTTGTTTATTAATTAATATCAAACGAGATTTCCGTTAATTTTCATAAAAAAAACCCCATTTTTTTTTTCCTACTCTCTCAGTATCTTCTTGTACTTCTTTCTCATATTTTTATTATTTTTTTTTTTTTTTACCTCATTTCCGTTGGATAATTATTATTCAATAGATATTATTAATAAAAGTGTATTTTTAAAAGGGGAAATCGATCGGTACTGGTGAAGAACGTAATTCTCCAGTATTATTTCGGTGTTTTCTTCGGTCGACTGTTATTGATCAACCGTGGGATTATTATTATTTTGTTTGGATAGTATCGGTACTCAATGTAAAATAACATATATGTAACAGTGAACAGAATTATCGTGACAAAATTGTTGCTACACGTGCGAAAATCCCAGACACAGCACACACGGGCAGGACTGAAGTCGATAAAATTACGTCCATAGAATATTATGTTCTTGTGGAAACAGTCGTTCCGCCACTGCACTCTGTATACGTACACTGTACCGTACATAGGTCTTGCAGTGGATGAGATTAGTGCGGCAGCGCGCGCATGTGTGTATGCGTGCGTGTGTGCGTGTGTGTGCGTGTGTGTGTGTGTGTGTGTGTGTGTGTGTGTGTGTGTGTGTGTGTG